AAAACTATATATACAAATGCTGGGCAAAAAGAGACAAATGCAGTTATGATATTAGAATTGATCCTGGGGTCTGGCCACAACCATAGGGACCTAGTTTCTGAGTCACAGCTTGGAAACAGTTGAGATCCCCACCCCATAACCATACATAAAATTGCTGGGCATGAAAAATTGAATACAGATATATATGCTACAAGGATTGGCCTTGGGGTCTGGCATATTCCCTTGGATCTCATTTGGAGAATATTCTGCCATGATTGTTTAGATATCCAGGTGAGCGATACAGGCCCTATGGGCCTCTTGTTGTGGTTTAAAATTGCTTTACTACCCCAAGCATCTTGTTGAGTGTTTTGGAATGCCAAGGTTGGGAGCCCTGGGTTTACCCTGTTTACGATATGCAGCCTCCGCTTTCTTTCTATTTGTCTGCTCATGTTGTTTTCTTTTCTTCTTATCTTTTGTTTTTCAACCATTATTAGGTCACCTGAGCTTTAGCTCAAGTGACCTATTGCTATCCGTCTTCGTCCGTCGTCGTGCGTTAACATTTTACATTTCCAACTTAAGCTGAAATACTGGCAAAGGAATTTCATTAATATTTCATGGGAAGGTTACTGACATCTCCCTGACCAAGTGTTGTTATTTTTCGGGTCGATCAGAAATCCAATATGGCCGCCACGGCCGCCATTTTGAAAAACTATTTCAAACTTAAAGTTAAGTTCTGCTAGGCCGATTGAACTGAAACTTTGTAGGAATGATTGACTTATGGTCCTGACCAAAGTGTTGTTATTTTTCGGGTCAATCAGAAATTCAATATGTCCGACACGGCCGCCATTTTGAAAAACTATTTCAAACTTAAAATCAAATTCTAATGAGCCGATTAAACTGAAACGTTGTAGGAATGATCGACTCATGGTCCTGACAAAGTGTTGTTATTTTTCAGGTCGATCAGAAATCCAATATGGCCGCCCCGGCCGCCATTTTGAAAAACTATTTCAAACTTAAAGTCAAGTTCTGCTGGGCCGATTGAACTGAAACTATGTAGGAATGATCGACTCATGGTCCTGACAAAGTGTTGTTATTTTTTGTGGTCGATCTGAAATACAATTTGGCTGCCATGGCCGTTATTTTGAAAATAACTATTTCAAACTTAAAAACAAGTTCTAATTGGCCGATCTTACTGAAACTCGGTCTAGGAATGATCAGCTCATGGTCCTGACAAACTTAAGTTAATGTTATACTTAACTATTTTTACTCAAATTGGTACATATTTCAACAACAAAAATAAATACTGAAGGACTCAGGTGACCGTTTAGGCCCATGGGCCTCTTGTTTGTTTCATTCTCGTTTATACAATATCGTATGTGATATGCCTATATTTATTACAATGATATTAACAAACATCAATATATGTTTACAAATTTATATATATGAAGGTTGACCCAGTCCATTTCTGCCACACATTAAAAATATTGACAAAATACTTGGGAAGGCAACACTGTATCTTCACATCTAAATTAGAAAGCACACAAAAGACTTGTCTAGGACAATAAAACAATTTGTAATATACCTGGTGGATTTTACTATAGTGATACAGTCACTGTTCAGCCCATGCGATACATTAAGGTCTTGTATTTCTCACTGTGATAATACAAGATGTTGTATTACCCCGGTAGTCTAACAACCTTTTGGTTGGAACTGTTTTGGCAGTTTTTAACCACTGATCAAATCTGGTCAGATGCATGAAATGTGTAAACATTTTATGACAACATGACTCATGCTTTAAATTCCCCTTTGATGAAAGTAGTGCCCTATAATCCTGGTTCTCTACAGATAAACATCCTTATGACACATGTCTCTGGTTCTTTCTGGTAAACAGCCTAATGAGATATGTTCTCTGTTCTGTATGTGTAAATACCGTTGTGAGACATGTCCCTTGGGTAAACAGCCTAATGAGATATGTTCTCTGTTCTGTACGTGTAAATACCGTTGTGAGACATGTTCCTGGTTTTTTTCTGGTAAACAGCCTAATGAGATATGTTCTCTGTTCTGTATGTGTAAATACCGTTGTGAGACATGTTCCTGGTTCTTTTCTGGTAAACAGCCTAATGAGATATGTTCTCTGTTCTGTACGTGTAAATACCGTTGGGAGACATGTTCCTGGTTCTTTTCTGGTAAACAGCCTAATGAGATATGTTCTCTGTTCTGTACATGTAAGTACCGTTGTGAGACATGTCCCTGGTTCTTTTCTGGTAAACAGTCTGGTAAACAGCCTAATGAAATATGTTCTCTGTTCTGTACGTGTAAATACCGTTGGGAGACATCTTCCTGGTTCTTTTCTGGTAAACAGCCTAATGAGACATGTTCTCTGTTCTGTATGTATAAATACCGTTGTGAGACATGTTCTCTGTTCTGTATGTGTAAATACCGTTGTGAGACATGTCCCTGGTTCCATTTAGCTGGTTGAGACACCTGGGCATTTGTATACATAACACTGTGTGGGGTTGATGAGTGGCAAATTAATTACAGCATCATGTGTGGTCTGAAATGAAGGGCGAAGCTGACGTTTGTTTTTGTAAGCTGTACATTGTAACTTGTCTAAACTGAACATCCCAGTATTACATGTAATGGAAACTTGTCCGATTTGATCATACAGTAAACTTTTCTTTGTAATTCAGTTAAGCTATGTTATCTGATAGCATTAACCTGTCTATTCTGAATAGAAAGTTGCTGGTATAAATATAAATATAACCAATGTTTAATGGTTTCATTTTGAATACAGTAAATATTTCATGAGTTTGGCAGGATACCAATTGTAAGCGCAAAGCAGGAGTGAGAATCTGTATATTCTGCCACGGGGTGAAATATGCACTGTATATGGTATTCAAGAGGGAAACCATTTGATATGCTATTCATTTTGATTTTAAGATGATATGATGAAATTATTACTGCATCTGCATCAAAGTGAAGGATTAAGTTAACATTATCTTTCATGCCATATACTAATGACATCTTGCTTGACAACAACGCTGCGTGCCGTTTTGAATGGGCTTCTCAATTTTACTGTTTTTTTTACTATCAGTTATGTACCAAAAATATACATAGCAACCACTTATTCTAAAATCCTTTGCCTGTAGCTAAGCAGAAAACCTACAGCTTTAAATGCAGTGAATAAAAATAATGTTCTGATAGGTTGATACAAAATCAATATACAGGACCTTATATCATCACATGTGAACATATAACATTTCGTCTGTCATCACTGTGATATTTAAGGAATAGCTTTCTGTTTTGGTCCGGTTATGAAGTGATATTTCTAGTTGAGAATATGTAATTTGAATAGATGGCTTAACTGTCATCTATAGTGTATGGAACATTTACTGGTGCTCAACTGGAGCTATCATTCCATACCCTGACCAAAATAGAAAACTATCCCTTATATTTACAGTGTTTTTCTGTGAATGGTTCATGACTCTTTTACATACTAGTCTGATCAGCAGATACAGTAGTAACTCCAGAGCAAGGAATCTGACAACAACTCGACATACTATATACTTATATGTAAAACACCTACCTGGGTACACAAAGGCTTCAGATGATTGTGTTCTGTCACTAAGCTGCACATTTCTGAATCTGTCGATATGTGTATAACCATTAATATGTCATTGTTGGTTCAAAGTGTAGTTGATTCGAATATCTTCAGGTCTTCATGTTACCAACTTGGACTGATAGGGTTACTCTATGTAACTACAAGCATCAGAATGCTACTAAAATTTCCTAAAAAGGAATCATGAAATGCCAAATTTAACGCGCCAAAATTTAACCACCCCTTTTTGTGTCGATTTTGGTCATACCAAAATATACCGAAGTGTGTACGGTATTACCTGCTATATAATCCTTATCACTTTGAAAAGGAGACCCATAGGTATATTCTCAAACAACTAAACTTGTTCTGTGACTTTCTGCACTTCAGAAGGTGTATATGATAGTTTGTTTTGTAGCTAGGCGAGATACATCTATGTAGTACCCTTACTGTTGTAGGTCTGGCTGTCCCCACTGTAGGAGTGAACGCCTATGTCACAGCTGCCCCACTCATAGACAAGATGGTGGTCGTGGATGAGCAGAGCATTGCTCTAGCTATTCTCAGGTTGATAGAGCTGGAGAAAGCTGTAGTCGAGGGTGCTGGGGCCACTGGTCTGGCCGCCATTATACAGGGAATGCTGCCTGAACTGGCCGGCAAAAGGTGGGTTACTACAATCATCTAAAGGGTACAGGTAATATGGTGGGTTAATTACTACAACAGTCTAGAGAGTACAGGTAAAAGGTGGGTTACTACAATGCTCCAGAGGATACAGGTAAAATGTGGGTCATTTCAACGATTTAGAGGGTACAGGTAAAAGTTGTGTTACTACAACGATCTAGAGGGTACAGGTAAAAGTTGTGTTACTACAATGATCTAGAGGGTACAGGTAAAAGTTGTGTTACTACAATGATCTAGAGAGTACAGGTAAAAGTTGTGTTACTACAATGATCTAGAGAGTACAGGTAAAAATTGTGTTACTACAACGATCTAGAGAGTACAGGTAAAAGTTGTGTTACTACAACGATCTAGAGAGTACAGGTAAAAGTTGTGTTACTACAACGATCTAGAGAATACAGGTAAAAGTTGTGTTACTACAACGATCTAGAGAGTACAGGTAAAAGTTGTGTTACTACAACGATCTAGAGAGTACAGGTAAAAGTTGTGTTACTACAACGATCTAGAGAGTACAGGTAAAAGTTGTGTTACTACAACGATCTAGAGAGTACAGGTAAAAGTTGTGTTACTACAACGATCTAGAGAGTACAGGTAAAAGTTGTGTTACTACAACGATCTAGAGAATACAGGTAAAAGTTGTGTTACTACAACGATCTAGAGGGTACAGGTAAAAGTTGTGTTACTACAACGATCTAGAGAGTACAGGTAAAAGTTGTGTTACTACAATGATCTAGAGGGTACAGGTAAAAGTTGTGTTACTACAATGATCTAGCGAGTACAGGTAAAAATTGTGTTACTACAATGATCTAGAGAGTACAGGTAAAAATTGTGTTACTACAACAATCTAGAGAATACAGGTAAAAGGTGTGTTACTACAATGATCTAGCGAGTACAGGTAAAAAGTGGGTTACTACAATGGTCTTTAGGGTACAGGTAATACGTGGGTTACTAAAATTATGTTGGGTATAGGTAAATGGTGGGTTACTTCAACGGTCTAGAGGGTACAGGTGAAAGGTGGGTTACTACAATGATCTAGAGAGTCCAGGTAAAAATTGTGTTACTACACTGATCTAGAGAGTACAGGTAAAAGCTGTGTTACAACAATGATCTAGAGGGGACAGGTAAAAGGTGGGTTAGGTAAAAGTTGTGTTCCTACAACGATCTAGAGGGTATATGTAAAAGTTTTGTTACTACAATAATCTAGAGGGTCCAGGTAAAAGTTGTGTCACTACAACGATCTAGAGAGTACAGGTAAAAGGTGGGTTACTATGATTGTCTAGAGGGTAATGGTAAAAAGGGGGTTTCTACTACAACAGTCTATAGGGTACAGGTAAAAGGTGCGTTACTACAACGATCTTGAGACTACAGGTAAAAGTTGTGTTACTACAATGACCTAGAGGGTACAGGTAAAAGTTGTGTTACTACAATGACCTAGAGGGTACAGGTAAAAGTTGTGTTACTACAATGATCTAGAGAGTACAGGTAAAAGTTGTGTTACTACAACGATCTAGAGGGTACAGGTAAAAGTTGTGTTACTACAATGGTCTTTAGGGTACAGGTAATACGTGGGTTACTAAAATTATGTTGGGTATAGGTAAATGGTGGGTTACTTCAACGGTCTAGAGGGTACAGGTAAAAGGTGGGTTACTACACTGATCTAGAGAGTACAGGTAAAAGGTGGGTTACTACAACGATCTAGAGAGTACAGGTAAAAGTTGTGTTACTACAACGATCTAGAGAGTACAGGAAAAAGTTGTGTTACTACAATGAACTAGAGGGTACAGGTAAAAGTGGTGTTACTACAATGATCTAGCGAATACAGGTAAAAGTTGTGTTACTACAATGATCTAGAGGGTACAGGTAAAAGGTGGGTTACTACACTGATCTAGCGAGTACAGGTAAAAGTTGTGTTACTACAACGATCTAGAGAGTACAGGTAAAAGGTGGGTTATTACAACGATCTAGAGAGTACAGGTAAAAGGTGGATTGCTACAACGATCTAGAGGGTACAGGTAAAAGTTGTGTTACTACAACGGTCTAGAGGGTACAGGTAAAAGTTGTGTTACTACAACGGTCTGTTGGGTACAGGTAAAAAGTGGATAACTTTGATGGACTATAGGGAACAGATAAAAAGTGGTATACTACAACAGTCATGAGGGTACAGGAAAAGGGTGGATTACTACAGCATTCTAGAGGGTACAGGTGAAAGGTGGGTTACTACAATGGTCTTTAGGGTACAGGTAATAGGTGGGTTACTAAAATGTTTGTTGGGTATAGGTAAACGGTGGGTTACTTCAACGGTCCAGAGGGGACAGGTAAAAGGTGGGTTACTATGATTGTCTAGAGGGTAATGGTAAAAAGGGGGTTACTACTACAACAGTCTATAGGGTACAGGTAAAAGGTGGGTAATTAGTGGGTTACTTTAATGGTCTAAAGGGTATAGGTAAAAGGTGGGTTACTACAACAGTGTAGAGGATACAGGAAAAATGTGGGCTACTACAATGGTAGTACAGGCGAAAGGTGGGCTGCTACCATGGTATTGTATAGGAGTAGGTATGATTGGTACAGGTAAAAGGTGGGTTAATACATTGACACAAACTGTTGTCGCTGGATTATGATCTTTTGTGAGGTAACATTGGCAAAGTATGTTGTGTGTTACAGGGTGGTTGTGATCCTTTGTGGCGGCAACATTGACACCACCTGTCTGGGTCGTGTCATAGAGAGGGGTCTCGCTGCTGATGGGCGGCTGGTCAGATTTGTGGTAACGGTCAGTGACAGACCAGGAGGCATCACGGAGCTGGCCAGGACTATTTCAAAAATGGGAATTAGGTATGATATAAGGAATATTTAATGGTTTTTCTTTGAATAACTTTTATGTTTCATGGCAGAATTTCAGTATTTTTTTGCGAGTATGGAGCACATGTGATAACATTGGCATTATGCCATATTCTGCCTTACAAGTGATATTCAAATGGCCTTCAGCGCGAAACCTTTTACATTTTTTATATGTTACATTATAAAGTGCAACAACGAAATTAGTACTGCGAATTATTACTACATCATCTAAGTTCGGGATTTAATTAGAAATGCGATTATTTTGCACCATATTCCAATGATGTCATGCTTGACAAAATTCTGTGTACAATATTGAATTAGCTACTTAATGTAAATCTACCATTTTCGGGTACATTCGCATAACACTAACACATTACTGAACACATTACTGGGTAATGATTAGATGGACACAGATATTTTTGTTATATCGATTCTGCTTCAATGTTAGAACTGATATCATTGATGTCTTATTCTTTACAGTTTGAAGGATATGTACCACGAGCGTGCTTGGATTAAGTCCGACATTTTCTCAGTCCAGGTAAGAGCATGTTGTAAGGGTTGTTGCCCTTTGTTTAGTGTTACATCTTTGTTAACTCATTCACCCCTGAATTTCATAATGAACTATTCCAACCTTTGAATTGGAAGAGTTCAAACGTGTCTTCAGGGGTGAATGAGTAAATCCTAATTCCAGAGTCAAAAACCCTGTATCTCAAATGGGGATTACCTTCCTGGATTTGTTTTCAAGTTTTGTTTTTATTTCAAATGCAGTATTTGGTTTGAATTTGTTAATGATTAAGTTAATCAATACACAGGTTAATTGATGAATTGACTGAAATGCCATTCTATGTGATATTTGTCTTTCAGGTGAAATGCGTTGTAGAGACCAGAGACGCAGAACAAAGTAAAGAGTTGGAGAGTGTTCTACGGGAGAAGTATGATCATGTTGTGTGGGGTCCTGTCCATTAGAATAATAGTTAAAACACAGCGACTAGACAGAGGTGAATCTTTGTATCACTGTCACCTTATTGTCTGTTCATTCAGGAGCTTTAAATTTGATTCAGGTATCCCAGATATTACCACTGTATGTTTATATTGTAGTTTGAAAAGGTGGGATTTTTTTTAATCCGTACCTAATTGGAAATCTTTAATCAAGATGGTGCCGAAATACACAAATAGCGGGCCAATACATGAATGATAATATGTAGTCTGCTGTATTTTTTTCCCCACATGCCATAATTAATACAGTGTAGTTAATTATCCTCAGTCTTCCAACTGAACATCGACATGATAAAACTATGTGATTCCTTCGTAAGTTAATCTCCAGGACAACGATACAGGGTACAATGTTTTAGTCTCCATGGTACCATTGTAGGGTACACTTGTATTTGTCACCATGACGACGGTGTAGGGTATACATACATTAGCCTCCCTAATTGTTTGACAAATATCACAGTTGACTTGAGTCCCACACAGTAACCCCTTATCCCGTTTTAATCTTGTATTTTATACATTTATTTATTCAAGGTATTGTTTTATTTCTGAATACATAGTTAAAAAAATGCTTATGTGGTGCAATTATTATCACTTTTCTTAAAACTGTTGGAAATTAAGCACTACACAATTTACAAACAGCATAATCCTGTCCATTGAATTCCTCCATTCCACTGTCTCGCACTTTATCTCCTGTATAAAAGGCCTGTTATGGTGAGGGGAAAAAAGAATAATTGCAAGGGAAACGTTACTTTTACACAATTTCATTCTACTTTCTTACCTGAAAGCATTGTTCTTACCTGAACTATTTAAACAAAGTTTTAGTCCATTGTAAATGCTGCCTTACGCCCCATAGGTACTTGTTAAACCTTTATGGGCATTGCCATCATAATTAGTGTTATTCTTTGTTACAGAGATGTAGAGAATTGGTGTACTTGCATTTTACTCCAAATATTGTGATGAAATTTCCATGCTGTTTTGGTAAATTTATACTATATAACTTATCTTGAGTGACCACCCATATAATAGTTAAATATAATGCAAGATCAATTTTAGTCCCCGAAACATATTGTTTTTATAAAATATATTTTTTTAAATTTGTTTAGCTTTGGAAACCTGCTGTGTTTACCTGTCATGTGTGATATAACAAACATAGATTGTGGTACAGTGTATATCGTTTACCTGTCATGTGTGGTATAACAAACATAGATTGTGTTACAGTGTATATCGTTTACCTGTCATGTGTGATATAACAAACATAGATTGTGGTACAGTGTATATCGTTTTTTAAATGTTGAATGTTTATTTATCGGTTTGTTAGTGGACTAGTTTTCCAGGAAATAATAATATAGTTAAAGGATCTCTTGTATAAGTGTTTACATACTGAAGTACGCATGTATATATATATATATAGACAATTTAAACTTCATGTTGGAAACATAATGGTCAGTAAAATGGTAGTAAATATATGAAAAAAGACAGGAATCAATTCCTGATTTGTGTTGTATCTTTTAAAAAAGAAATATATTGATACATATATATATGTTTTGTTGAATTTCGCATAAAAGTAAGCATATATTGTATTGTTGATGATAACTATGCTTCGTCAGAAATAATTTACTGAATATGGAGCTTATTCGATCTCTGTCCCACTGCAGGCAAAACACTAGGATATACAGCAACCTCCTGTGGTTTTTCGTATATACAGCAACCTCCTGTGGTTTTTAGGTCACCTGAGACAAAGTCTCAAGTGACCTATTGCGATCGCCTTTTGTCCGTCGTCGTCCGTCGTCCGTTGTCCGTCGTGCGTCCGTAAACAATTTACATTTTCGACTTCTTCTCCAAAACCCCTGAACCAATTTCAATGAAATTTTGCACGGACCTTCCATGGACAAAGGTCAATAAAAATAGTTGCCGGTTTAGTCCTACACACCCAGGGGCCTGAGGGGCGGGGCCAAAAGGGGTCAAATTGACTAAAATTTCAAAAATCTTCTTCTCCAAAACCCCTGAACCAATTGCAATGAAATTTTGCAGGGACCTTCCATGGACAAAGGTCAACAAAA